AGACGAGCCTAAATAACATGATATTATTCTAGTAAAAATGACACCAGATAGCGATTCTAAAGGTCTGTTGTTTATGGATTAGCCCGTACGACCTATATTTTAGTTTTTGTGTTCAATTTTTCAAGACAAAAATGTCCTGAATTGTGCTAAGTTAAGATTTGTAGTTTAAAATTTCAAGACAAAATAAGTACTAGCTTATCTCTAAATAGTATCCTTGAGAATAACTTTATGTGCACTTGCCCCTATTATTTGTGATGATTCGTATATCTTACTGACTTGTTTGAGATTGAGATGTAGTTGTTGTAGATTATTAGTAGGGAAAAGGGTCAAAAATATCCATCTACTATGCAAAAAAGATCATTTATACCCTCCGTTATACTTTTGGTTCACCCTTACCCCTAACGTTACAAAAATGATGCAAAAATACCCCTCCTCTGTTAGTGCCCTCCACCATAGCCACCATCATCCCCGTGGAGTGATATTTAGCTGAAGTGGACACCACGAGGCATGCCATGTCATCATTCCAACTCTATTTTACCCTCCCTCCACATTGTCTTCTTCCACCACTATCTCCACCTTCACCCAACCATCACCCAAAAATAAATATTTAAATGAAAAAGAAAGATTTGTTGATTACTCCTCATTTGTGCTGATTCTTAGAGGCATTTGATTTTTCATGCCAACTTACACAAATTTGTGCCAGAAATTCTTTTTGTTTTTTTGTGGTGAATTTGACTTTCCATTCTGCCTGTGATTCATTGTTTTTCAGTATGCCGAAGCTGCGGGTACACTGGTTCTATGACTTTGCTTTTTATCCATGGTTTGGTTGTGACTATAGCCAGATATGAGAGGTTTTAGCTTTTTACTATTTAGGATTTGCATTCAGTTATTCTATGGTAGTATATGAAACTTTTTGTAATAGTCGGATCCAGTTCTAGTTTAATGGTTTTTAATGTGGCATTCCAATGGATAATTTGCTAATAGCTAATAGATTTGGCCTAATAGAGTAAGAGAATGGTGGCTGGCATTTTTTTTTTGTTTTCCTTCAATATGATAGATGCCAAATGTTCAAAATTAATGTGAGATTCGGCAATTTAGAAAGGAGATGTGGCAGCAATAATGGAACTATGGAAATAAGGTAGAGTGGTCTTTGTGATTTCTCTTTGAATTCAAAAAGAGAAAAAGAAAAAGATGGTTGGGTGAGGGAGGAGATGGTGGTGGAAGAAGAAGAAACAGGGGAGATGGTAAAATGGGGTTGGGATGGTGACCTGACATGCCATATGGTATCCACCTCAGCGAAATATTAATTTGCGTGGGATGATTGTGGCCATGATGGAGGGCCTTAACGGAGGAAGGGTATTTTTACACTACTTTTATAACGTCGAAGGTAAGGATGGACCAAAAGTATAACGAAATGTACAAATAATTATTTTTTCGTAGTAAAATAATATTTTTGACCCTTAATCTTACTTTCTTATAAATATGTGAAAGTACGTGAAATGTATTCTTTGTCTGGTGTCCATGGATCTTGTATTTCTAAAATCAGGTAGGGAGAATCTAATGAAAAAACTCTTTTCTGTTTTGCAAAAACTTTTATGGAAACCCAATTAAATCTCAACGATACTGCTTAGTATAATTGGCAACTATTTTAAATAAGTTACTTTATTAGCGATTTATGTTTATTGATACTATCAGATCTCAGTTATGAAGTTCACTTTTTGCTCATTAGTAAGTTTATGAATTTCACACCTTTTAGATTGAGAAGTCAAATTGAGATTAGCTAAAAAAGGAATAAAAGTTATTAAACTTTTTAAAATGTTTGATTTGTCACATAATAGTACACTTCTTGATTACATTAGTAGTAACTATTTAAAACTCTACCTATTTATATCCTTGATAATTTTACTTTAATATTTAAAGTGAACCTAAATAAGAATATAAATTGCGCATGATTTTTATTATGAGAGAGAAAAAAAAGGAAATCGCTTGAATATATGTGGAAATAACTTAACACTTTGTTGAAGATCCCTTTTTAATTTTAATTTTAATTTTCCTTCTATTCCTAAGGCTTGTAATCAGATTCAGAAAAATCCCAAGTACATAAATCTGATTTGGCAACAAATACAAATTAAGTAAAAAATTTAAGTGGGCATAGTATGTGGCCCCTACTAAGAAAATCTCCAACTAGTATAAATACTCATTCTTGTTAAGGTTATTTTTATTCTTGAATATAATAATTCCCCTGTCTCACTCTCAAATGTTCTAAAAAAACAGAAAAAGAAAAGCAAAAAAAATAGTGCCATAAAAATAGCAAATTAGAAAGCGGCGCCACCTTTTGATTTTTGAGTTCTCAAATTCGCGCAACAATGGGAGCTCCTCCTCCTTTTTCTACTTGGATTCCTGAAGACGACCGTTTGCTTATTAACGCCGTTAAGGTACAACCAAAAAATACTTATTTTCCTTTTGATTTCGTTTTTCCTTTTTTTTTTTCCTCTACTTGTTTTATTGTTTACTTTTTCTGAATGTATACTTTTCTGTGTTGTTTCTTTAAACTGTGCACATTTTGTTTACATGAATTTGCTTTTTGCTTCATTCAAAATTTAATTTTTGTGATTTTAACTGCAACAAATGTTTTGCACTTCATTTTTTTTTCTTTCAATTATGTACTTTTTTGTGCTTTTCTTCTATGCTTTTTTGGATAAATGGAGAAGAAACTGGATTCATTAAGAAAGAGATAGCTTTGCATGGGCTTTTTCTTTATATAAGTTGGTTAAATGTATAATAGAAATACAGTTTGTGTTAACTTCTAGAATAATAAACGGTGTTGGTTGCTATTTACGAGTTCAATGTAAATTAAGAATACGCGTATTGCTACTAAATGTATAAGATTATTTAAATGAAATTCTTTTTATAACTATTATTTAATTGTATAGTCAATCATTTCTTACTTATCGTATGTCTTATTTGTTTCTAATAGTATTTGTTGTAAGTTATAAGAAAGTTTTTAAAATAAAAGTTTCAATATTAAATTTATTGTGGAATTTAGAACAGTGTTTTGACTGACCAGTTTATGGAGGAACTGAGGAATGAAGAAGGACATGTTAACTTGTAATTGCTTCTGAATTTTGTGTAAACTAAAACGTAGAATAGATCGTTATTGCTTCACCAAAATGAAGCCCATAGTAGAAGCATTTCCGAAGCTTTAAGGTTAAAACTTTAGTATGCTGATAACTTGCTCAAGTGGCATGTTAGAGATGCTTATACTTAAGTATCTGTCACAATTAATACTAGTGCTAGCCCGAACAAGATCATATTTTCTTACTTTTCATTGAAAGGTGCTGGGGTTTAATTTGATAGGCCTAGTAATCCTTTGTTGTGAAAAGCAAAGATGGAACAACTATATGATTTAGGTTCTGTTCTTATATTTACTTTTCCTTAATTGATAATAGAGTTTTCACATCCTTTTTTCCTAGGCTGGTGCTTCTTTTGAATCACTTGCCAAAGGTGCAGTTCAATTTTCCCGGAGATTTACTGTTCAAGAATTGCAAGATCGATGGCATGCTCTTCTATGTGATCCAGTTGTTTCTTCTGAAGCATTATCTCTCATGATGGAGTTTGAGCATTCTGCTTCGACAACAAAATCTGACTCTAATAGATTTGAGCAGGCAAAAGAAAGTAAAAAGTGTGTTCCTGAGAAGAGAAAAGCTGAGAGCATCAGCTCATGTTACTGCCCTATGCATAAGAGAATCGCTAACGACACATTTGACTCCGCGGATGCCGATTATCTTGGTGGAGCTGGAAATAATGACAATCCTCAGTCCATGGATTGCATGTTTGTAGATTCACTGATAGATAATTTCCGTAATCAACAGTCTAATTTTAATATCATACCTAATAACGTTCTGGAACATGGAGCTGGGCATTCCATTTATGCTAGTGACTATGTAACTGCTCCTTCAGCTTTACCCATTGGGAAAAATCATAATGGAGATGTTTCCCTTGGCAGCTTTAGCTTTCAGGATTTCCCCAATGGAATTGAAGGAACTCTTCCCCCTGCTGAGAATCGCGAGACAATCGCCGCTGTTGGGGGGTTGTCTCAACCAAATGAAGTGCCAGTTAGCGAATTACTTGAAGCAGAGGATTTAGAACCTATACTGCTAGATATGGCAGGTCAATTTGATGATGATGTGAGAAGTACTTCTTCTGGATATGACAGCCAGGTCTTCACTGCCGCATTTCCTGACAGTGCCTTGTCATGTCAACTGCCAGATTTTACAATTGCAGGCACTTCTGTCCCAACTCTGCCGGATTTTGAACATGCCGAGAAAGAACTGAGCATTGAAAATACAATAGTAGTTCCAGTTCACGGTGGGGCAAATAAAATGGACACATCAGGATATAGTATTGTGACTCTTGTCAACTCATCATCCAACTTGGAAGACCAAATCTCGTGTGATATCTTGAGAAATTCATCCCTTAGTACTGATGACTACTTAGTTGAGCTATCAAATTTTTTGTTCAACTCTAAAGATGATGAAGAGCCGCTTTTCGTGGGCCCTGATGGAAATGAGATGATTGATGAGTCTTATTTTGATGATTTCAACTCATTCTTGTTGGATACACCTGATGACACTGATAATGGCGTATCCGAAATTTCAAAAGCTCCAGATCAGCAGCTTCCCGCTCCTGACGGTGCTCGTCCCGGAGAGTTAAGTGACAAGCGTGTGAATCATTATGGTGATAAGCCTCTTGTTTGCAGTTCAGAGGTTCAAATGATATCTTCTGCATTGTCTGTCAACCCTGCTTTTCCTGAAATGCGTGATGGAGTTATCTGTTGCACGTTAAACACTGAGGTCCCAGAGATTCCTACCAATGATGATGTTTTTCTTCCTGTTAGAATGCCGTCAATATCTTCTCCATTGATGGCACATCATACATGTGTTAAGACTTATCGTCCAGTGTCCTCTGTCGATGGCTTCAAAATAATGGACTGATAGTTGATGAAAATGTCCTTAAGAAAGCAATTGCACCAGAATCAAGTGCAACCAGTATACCATCCAATTGCAAAGACTTTCCCATTGAGAGCGATTATTCTGGTATATGAATTGTATTTTCCCCACAGTTATTACTTGACCTTAACTAGTTCCTTTAATCACTGTCCAGATCGTCGATATGGATTTGAGCTCAAATGGCCAGTATCTGTGTTCTAGTAAGAGAGGTAGTCCAATGTTCAGTAGACTCATTAAACTACTTATTCTTTCTTCTGTGTCTTCTATGAAGTTGCATGCGTGTGTTTGATATGCCAAAAGTCATTTTTTAGGAAAATAATTTCCATAATAAGTGATTTTCTCGTGTTTGGTATGTCAGATGTTATTTTTCATGTAAAACATTTTCCATCAATTGGAGGAAATGATTTAGTTTACGTATGGGCACAAGTCATTTTCCTAACAACTCTCTTAACTTTTAACTTCATATTACTTGCTTCGACTAACACGCTATTAATCTCCAATACTCAGAAGTTTCATAAAAGCACTCTTTGACTTGCTAATATTAATATTAAATACTTTTTGCTGGAAAAATATTTGCCATTCACCAACCAAACACGAGAAAATACTTTTCCTTTTCAGGAAATTTTTTTCCATGGAAAACATTTCAAGAAAGACATTTTCCATGGAAAATGATTTCCATCATACCAACAGACCCTTAATGTTTAAGATTTTGTTTCCACTGCAGCATTTAATTTTATGCTTTTATGGTTACTTTCTGGGAATCTATGCAAACTTAGCAAAAGCTGGAAACAGTTGAAGAAAAAGATCTATATGGGCGATAGCATTAGATATTAGCTGAGATTATGTTTTAGACGTTAGCACTTTTACTGTAGGTCTTATGCTTTCTAGGAGTGATTTAAACTTTCAGAGATTTATACGTTTAGAAAATATACATAAATTCTAGTACTTTTTATTTATATTTGCATAATATTGGCATGAGATTATTTAAATGGAGTAACGTGGTCAGTAAAGTGTGAAGATTCATATAGTAGAACCCTACTTGTTTTGGACTGAGACATAGGAGTTGTTGTTTATGGCTACTTTTTCAACTTCTTCACATCATTTTCTGTCCCTTTTTAGCTCTTGTTAAGAGCTTCCTTTGGAGCTAGTTGCCTCCCTCTATTGGTGCATACCCTCTTACTGAGAATTTTTTTTTTCTTTCTTTGGCTGGTGTCATTCTTTTATGGGAAAAGGGCCAGATATACCCCTCTATTATTAAATAGTCCACATATGTCCTCTGTTATACAATAGGTCTAAATCTACCCCTCCTGTTAACAAAGTAATAAAAAATACCCTTATTTTTAACGATGCTCCATCGTGACAATCCAAATCCTACATGGTCTGACATTTGGGTGAGGTGGATACCACGTGTCATGCCACATCACCATCTTCTTCCCCTCCCATTTCTTCTTCAGCTCATACCTTAAAATGGAGGTTCCAAATTTTTTTCCTTTCAAATCTGGACAAAATTACTGTAAATCTCTGAATCTAACAAGAGTTGGCTTTGCAGAGATTTGGATATTGACAGGGAGCCTTGGATGAAGGAGGCCCAAGGATGTGAAAGAGCCGGTTCTCTTGGGACTTGCAAGGCTATAATAAATAACACTGTTGGGATTGCTGTTGAGGAAGAAGATAGGAAGAGGACCTGGCTTGCTGATATTGAGGAGTGCAAGAAAAGGGGTTCCAACATTTATGCACATGCTCTTACTGTATTTAGAACTAAGAAAAGCATCTGGCTTAAAGCAGCACAGCTCGAGAAAAGCCATGGCACAAGGGAATCACTTGATGCATTGCTTCGAAGACCAGTTACTTACAATTCTAAAAGCCAACTCTTGTTAAATCCGGAGATTAACAGTAATTTTATCCAGATTTGAAAGAAAAAAATTTGGAACCTCCATTTCAAGGTATGAGGGGAAGAAGAAATGGAAGGGGAAGAAAATGGTGAGGTGGCATGACACGTGGCATCCACCTCACCCAAATGCCAGACCAAGTAGGATTTGGATTGCCACGATGGAGCACCGTTAGAAATAAGGGTATTTATGATTACTTTGCTAACGGAAGGGGTAGATTTAAACCTATAGTATAACTGAGGATATATGTGGGCAATTTTTAATAGTAAAGGGGTATATCTGGCCCTTTTCCCTTCTTTTATTGCAGTCATGAATTAGCAGTTTGAAGAGTGTAAGAGGACAATTATCAGGATGAAGGAGGCAGCTATTGCTTGTACACAAATAGCTCTTGCTGCTCAAGGAGCATTACCTGTTATACATGACCGGTCACTCGAAGTATTTGTGAAAACCTGAAGTATGGAAAACTTATCTATTCTTACTAAATTATGGGATACTGTCATAAAATGCTTCACATATCTGGCTTTTGCAGTTTTGGAAGTAAATAACTTATCATAGTGGACTGAAATTTTTGACTGCATAAAGAACATTTTGTTTATCTGGACTAGAAATGCTACATTGTACAGGGTTGTGATTAATATTTCTAATTCCAGCAGTGTACGATTTGCAAATTATTAATTAGGTGTGCAGAGCTTTTGGGCGTAACTGGACAGCAACAAAACCGAAGAATGGGAGGGACTAGTGAGCATCATATTATTTTCTTTTGCAAGATGCACATGCAAAACAAGATTTCATACCAGTTTGACTGATGTAACACAAACATATTATGATGGCTAGGGAACGGAAGGGAAAGTCTAGATAACTGGATTACTGAAGATTACAAGTGTTGATTCCATCACTGACAGTACTAAATGAGTGGTTTCAATCAATTTTCCAAATAATGTTGCAATCTTTTCGTTCATAAGGATTCAAAAATCTCACTTATGGCTTCAGGTTTTACTGGGAAGAGCGACTGAAGATATTAAAGTTGACATTGACTTGGGCAGAGAGGGTCTTGATACTAAAATTTCGCAGCAGCAGGTAATATCGGCTTAGAAATTGACTGGAATTGGTCTATGTTCCCATTTAATTTCCATTTGATTCCATAATTTATCTCCAATCATCATAGAAAGGAAACATATATGATGGTACATCATAATTAATCCTTATTTTCCGTTATTTGTTTAGTATATTGAGTTACTTTAAGTTGCTCGTGCATTCTCATTCTTTCTGCTGCTTGCTTGTATTGTTGCTGCTTGAAAGTTTGAAGTTTATATTTATTAGTTGTGTATTTAGTTTGTTCAAATGAAATTTCAATCATATGTTCAACTTCTTAGAGATTGATTTACACGCCTAAATACTTACCAGTGCACTGCAAAGTTGTCCATAATACTCACACATTTATTTATTACTTTTCTTGATTTAGGCAACTATAAGATGGACGTATGTGGACTATTCTACTTGCAGAGCGTTGGTAAATATTCAATTCATGTGAGTGTCAAAGAAGTTCTTCCTAAACAGAGCTAAACCTCAACTCTAGCTCCTTAATTGCGGTATAGTTCTTATTCTGCACAAGTATTTAGTATCCTGACTGGAAAATTTTATTTGGTAATTCAATTATGCCGCCTTCCACAACACCAGCCCCCCCACCCAAAAAAAAATAATATAAAAAACCCAACCCAAACTCGTAACCTAAGATGTTGATGGCAGTTAAGTCAGTACTAAGTCGGCTAAAACCTTAGACCTTTTTGTTAAAAGAAAAGTCACCATTAACCTTAAGATGTTGATGGCAGTTAAGTCAGTACTAAGTCGGCTAAAACCTTAGACCTTTTTGTTAAAAGAAAAGTCACCATTAACCTTAAGATGTTGATGGCAGTTAAGTCAGTACTAAGTCGGCTAAAACCTTAGACCTTTTTGTTAAAAGAAAAGTCACCATTAACCTTAGACCAGAGCTCTTGCCTTGTTTTACATTTATAGGAGCATATTCTATATTCTTCCCATTACTCAATGGGTAAAACAAAATTTTTAAATCATATAGCTGACCATACTAATTTGGAACTGAGGCGTATTTGATTGATACTTGTTCTTAACTTTAGTTTATCAACTGTAACATGTACTACTTAGGAATTATTTCCATTTGGGACTCTTAGGGTGGTGAGTTTATTGAGGAATATTTAAATCCAAGCCAAGGCGATTATCTGACACTTGTCGCCAAGGGACAGGAATAATAGTCGTAGACCCTTTCCTTGCCCATACTCATTTAATCCCACGAGAACTCATGGGTTAGCCAACACTAGTGCTTGCCTGTTCTACCCTTCCCATTGGAATAGTCGAGGTGCGAGTGAGGTGGCTGGACACCACCAGTCAGAAAAGGAAAAGTTCTCAGGGGATTTTGTATCCTGCTGCTTACATTGCAGAGCGGTTTCTCACTGATAGACCATACTTTTATAACTTCCTCCCTTTTCTCCAGAATCTGTGTTTTGGCAATCCATTCATGCAAGCTCGTTGAAGCAAGCTCTATGCAAGTTAAATTTAATTCCTGGGAATCTAATTTAGTCCGTTTTAGCTTGTCTAATGAGCTAGCTGGAATTGCCCCCAGGGCCTAGCTCAAGTGGCAAAGGGTGGTGGATTTGTGTCTTAGGTCACAGTTTCAAGCCCCCACACCATGCAAGGCAAAGCCTGGTATTTAAGTGGAGAAGGGTAGAGGGGCGGGCCCATTATCCACTGAGTTTCGAAGGCTGCGGTTGGTCCAAAGGATCGACTCCAGACGGATTTCTCGGTCATCAACTTAAAAAAAAAAAAAAGAGCTAGCTGGAACCACCACTTTACTTTAGATAAATTGCCACTATAGGTCCTAACATTTTGTTTTTATTACTGCTCAGTGGTATGTCTGATGTCCATCTTTCTACTCTGATTGAGGAAATTGCAGGTCGGAGAAATTGCATTAACGTTTGAGATGAATCAAAATCGAATACAACAGTATATAGACAACTTGATGAGAAGCCAAAGGAGAAATAACAAAGCTTTTTCGATGACTCAGAAGGTGCTAATTATTTTCTATTGCAATAGCTGGGGACTATAACGTATGCTATCCTGCTTGCTTTTCGCTTTTATTTGTTTATTTATTTATACCTTTCCCCACCACCATCCCGCAACTGCAAATTTTAATTAAAGAGATTTTACACAAATAGCCGACCATATTCATAACCTTTGCCGTTACTATGAAAAGATAGATAAAGTTATTTGCATGTATAGACTTTAGGCATTTTAATGGGTCGTATCCTAAGTATTTTCCAACTGCTTTTGGAACATCTTTAGGTGCATCTAGCTATACTGGAGCAGTAGAGCTAAGCTGATATTGATGATTATGAAAATGTTCTCTTAATCCTATATGGACTTAAAAAGTAGAATCATCTTCAGAAAATCTTCTTTATTATAAAAAATATGGAAGTCTGACTCTGTATAGAAAACACAATAGTCAGCACCCACATGTGATCATGCAGCTAACCTAGATCCCAAAAAAGAAGATTCATATTCATTCTTTTTATCTTTAGACAGTTATATTAATTGCTAATTAATGCACTCTGCATATTAAATAATTCATTAACAACAATCGCACTTCAAAGCGGGGATCAAGTTGAGTTAGCTATATGAATCTTCACATATAACTTCGTTCCATTTAAACTCATCACAAATCAACATTATATAAAATAAAAGAAAAGGATTAAAAATACGAGATGTTCTTTATATTTTTCATTGACGTATAAATCTCTATTGGGATTACTGTAATTTTTCAGTTAATTGGTATCGTTTATATAGATTAAATAATTCATTCACTTCTATAGATGAATTAATTTCTCATGTTATCTCTGTCCACATTCACTTCTAGTTTCTGTACTATACCATGAAGCAATACAAAAACAGATCCAAAACTCAAATCCTAGTACACAAAAAGAGCCATTAGCCCAAAACTAAAAGATGAAAGTGCAGTTTTTTCTTCATCTTTTTCTAGCATTATTTTTCATGTTCTTTGTATTATTAGCACAGTGCAAAACTCATCCTACTGATATACAAGGACTTCAACATCTCAAAAATGGAATAAACCCAAATTCCATTTCCTCCGGTTCATGCCTAAGCTCATGGAGCTTCTCCATAGACCCATGCGACAATATTTTCTCCGACCGGTTCACTTGCGGTTTCCGTTGCGATCTCATCGTCTCCGGTTTTTACCGAGTCACCGAAATCAGCTTAGACCAAGCCGGTTACTCCGGTTCATTATACATGACCAACCTCCCTCATCTCGAAGTTTTAGATATGTCCTATAACTCACTATCCGGTTTAATCCCACATTCACTCTCAAACCTAACTCGTCTACGTCGACTCAGTCTTTCAAAAAACTCATTCACAGGTAAAATCCCTTCTTCCATTGGTTCTCTTTTACGTCTTCAAGAACTTTTTCTTGATAACAACAATCTCACCGGTTCAATCCCACGAAGTTTCAACGGTTTAGTCAATTTAAACCGGCTTGAGCTTCAACATAACAATATTACTGGAGATTTACCTGTTCTCTATCAGCTCAGAAACCTATTTTTCTTAGACTTGAGTGATAACAGAATCACAGGAAACTTCTTCCCGTCACGTTTCTCCAAGTCCATTATTGAACTCTCACTACGTAACAATTATTTACGGGGCGAGTTCCCGTTAAACGTAGGAGAGTTAAAGTTTCTACAAGTTTTAGATCTGAGTCATAATTTATTATCTGGGATTATACTGTCGGTGTTATTTTCCCACTCATCTCTTCAACAACTCACACTTTCTTACAACAATTTCACGTTATTGCAAATGCCAAAAGATTTAAGTTATCGAAATAATAAGCTTATAGCCATTGATCTGAGTTATAACAATTTGCATGGCTTCTTGCCGGCTTTCATGGCGTCAATGCCGAACTTGTCGGCTCTGAATTTGGAACATAATAAGTTTTCCGGCATGATACCGACACAGTATGCAGTCAAAGTTGTAGTTCCGAGGAACAATACGTCGTCGTTTGAGAGATTGTTGTTGGGCGGGAATTACTTGTTTGGGCCTATTCCTGGGCCTCTATTGGGCCTAAAACCAGGTTCTGTTAATGTTAGCTTAGTGGATAATTGTTTATATATATGTCCGAATACGCTATATATTTGTCATGGTGGGAATCAGAAATCTTTCTTGGATTGTAAGAAGTTTCGACCTATGATTCCTTGAGGTTAGTTATATATTTTCATTTCCAATTTTAGATGAGGTTAATTGCTAGTGATTGAGTAGCAAACTGTGTTCCTCTTGTCCTAATTTTGAATTCAGAGGTACTAGTCGATGACGAATTAGAAACTACTCGACTCTGTATATCTGTAACAGTGACAATGATATTATTGAAACTAATAATACTATTGTTGTCAGGGGCGGATATGGATTCCCGGGAACCCAGTAACTTTTGTGTAGATCTTGTATTTTTGTTAAATATTTTATTAAATATCTATAAATATCTATTTGTGAGCCCAGTTATTATTGTATATTAATTTGAGATTGCGACAGGAACCCATAAACTTAAAATCCTGGATCCGCCTCTGATTGTCGTAAACCAACAGTTGGTGCTATATTGCTAATTAAAGGCGTATTTTGTTTTGTAGAGTATATACGTCTAGAAAGGATAAAGACTCAACTAAGTTAGTAGTAGTGATATTTTCATTTTTTTTAAAATTCAAAATCGAGATATATACTAAAGTTTAAATTTTGTCATCTCAACTGATAGATTGTTTCCGCCCGTACAAACATGTAATTGTTGATTAGCACCAAACTCATTCAATTGTCACTTTGATGTTTTCTTTATGTTCTTATGATCAATGGCAGTAGATGATTTGGTTGAAATTTGACAACTTTTACATACAACATCTGCTTCTTCATTTTTTTTGGCATTGGACATGTTTAGTTTTGCGTTTAATATACGGACTTCGAATATAACTATAAAATTAGGATAATGTTTACCCTGTTTAGCTGTTTTATTTATTTATAAAAAGTCACTAGAGTTTTTTATAAAATATATACATATTCGGTCAAAAGCTACAATTTATATATATTTTTTGTTGTGCAGAGTACGGTCAAACACTACAATTTACTTACAACTTGGATACAATTTTATGTTGTACAGAATAGATCCGATCGAACACATACAACTGGCATACGACTTATATTCAATTGTTTTAGTTGTATATATTTTGTATGCTTACTCTTCGAGTATCAATTTGAAATTCCAACTAAAACTAACCCCAAGCTTCATCAAACTTCCTAAAAAATGAGGTATAAACTTCAAAGGATATGTTCCGTAGTTTGCAATAACACTCAATTCAAACAATAAGAATTTGCATGTTAATGGATGTTAATGGACTTTACAGCTTTATAATCATTTTCAAACACTGCTTTAATTTTTAGTAATGCTTAAAAATACTACAAAACCTCCCATTGCAATAAATAAATAAATATATTCTTTAATCATTTTCAATCGAAGGTAACATCATTTTTACGTGTGTAAAGAAGAGGCGATAAGTTCTTAATTATTAAATGGTCGTGGAAAGAGAAATCTTGGGGACTCAAACTCACGAGGTAATTGAACTAATCTTGTTCATATTTGAAATTTTCTAGAATAAGAGTTTTGTTAAAACCATTTTTTGTATTATTCGCATACTTTGAGATCATCCCCTTATTATTCTTTTAGAAGTGTGTTTGGTAGTGAGAAAGATAGAGAGGGAGAAAATGAGAAAGATTAGAGTCTAATATATTACTTTGTGTGCAACTGATAATTAATACATGATATAAAATTAAAATGAGAATGGTAATTAGTTTCATAATGTAGTATAAATATGTAAAAATTCCCTCAAAAAAGCATAAATTTATTACTCCCTCTGTTTCAGTTTATGTGAACCTATTTCTTTTTTGGTCCGTTCCAAAAAGAATGAACACTTTCTAAATTTGGTAACAATTTAGCTTAAAGTTACAACTCTACCCTTAATGAGAAGCTTTTATAACCACACAAATACTCTGGGTCCCATTTGGACTTGTTTAGGACCACAAATTCCAAAAGTCTTCATTTTTTTCTTAAACTCCGTGTTCAGTCAAACAGGTTCACATAAATTGGAACGGGAAATATTAACTACTAGGGAGTATGATTTAGTGATAAACAAGGGGAAATCAACTAGCTAGCATGCTTTATGTCACATCACATTTTATTTATTCCTTTTCTTTTTCTAGAAATTAAAACCAAGGAAGTGATAAAGCAAAATCCTATAGAGGTGGCTAAGAGTCTCAGTAAAAAAGGACTTGTAGACTGTAGTCTTACTACGACTCCAACTCTAGCAAAAATATAGTAGCTCAGTTCTAACTGCCACAATTTTTTAGAGATAAAAGAATTTTGTTTGTTCGTATTTTAGATCATTCGTACATGCAATTTATTAAATTCCATTTGCTTTATAGTTAAATAAATCCTATTAATTCTGATGACTCTCCCTGTTGTGTGCCTCCTAGAGAGGATGACGTATGTAATGTTTTTTTCTTGTATGATAAGTTATTTCTCCTTGATAGTATTATTGTCAGTAGCATTTTTCAAATACTCAGTTCTATTGTTATTTCTTCACCATCCCTTTTCCCTTTTTATATGTATTGTTCCCAAAGTTTTTTAGAATTTTGGGGCGAGTATGTACAGAAGAAGCTGACAACAAGGTAAATGCTAATTAATTTTTAGACTCAATTAAGTACGTCGATATTTCATCTACTTTTTGCTGATTATATTTGTTCATGATTGTAGGTTGTTGATGCACTAGATGAGGGAGACCAAAATCCGGCATAGGTTTTGTGAGCAAAATGTGAAACTTGAACCTACGACTCTGGAATTGTAGGTGGGGATGCTGACCACCGAAGCAATCCCTCTTATCATCAAAAGCACGGACATAGACTATTAATTAATCATTTTGTTTTTTTGTCGTTCTACGTACCAGCTCCGCCATATTTTTTAAAATGCCTCCAAATAAATATTAGGAATATTTCCGCAAGTTCTTTTAATAGTTTGGCCCTTTTGGGAAACCATTATGCTCTAAGTTTCTTGAATTCTCTACTATGTAATAGTTTTAACTAGTTATTTCTCCATTCATCTCAAATTTATTTATATAAAATACTTTCTTTTCTAGTCACTCCAAAAATGAAAAAAATGAGATCGCTCACCAATAATAGGAGCCGTCGTCTTCTTACTCGGATAAGTTGTCATCCTTAAATTGGCTTTAGGAGAGATCCTATAATAGTGAACTTTCATTCCCAGTAAAAGTCCTGGAGCAACTTGCCTAATGCTAATAAATAAGGGGAAGGTTCAACATTTATATATATAAAATTTAAACTTTAAACTTCTTATTTTAGTATTAATGAAATAATGTATAGTCGCACATATCTCTATGTCTTAGGTTGACAATGTGCTTCATTATATTATACTTACGATTGTATTTTTCACAATTTTCGTTTTTATTCTCATTTACCTAGCCGCCTCTTTATAATATTTCTTTCTCTATTTTATGGCAGTATAATTTTACAGCAACTTAATATTTAAGCATATATACGTGTTATATATGAATAGACTTCTTCTTCTGTCTTTTTTTCTTTTGGGTAACATATAAGAATAGACTTGTAGTAGAATATGATGAAGCAAAGACTAGGTACAAACAAACATAAGAGGTGATGCATGTTTTTTCAGGCTAATTGGTGAAATGGACATGACCAATATATGATTAAACTTTTTATATAATTTTCAGTGAAAGTAATTCGGTCAAACCACCTCCTCCAGAAATCCAAGGGGTTTTCCCTGGTCTCCTCCGAGAATGAACACGTTGGTAATATTAGTAGCTTAACTCTTTCGGATTTGTGATAATTATATTTAATTTTAATTTTTGCATGTTGAATAATTTTTAAATCATGATCCTTCCGCGTATATATGTTCTTAAACAAATTAAGAAAGAAGCTATCTGCTCGCTAGGTTTATTCATTTACTAATGATATAACTTGGGATGATATAGTTGGCGAGGACAAAAATATATCGCCTGGACTGAGACCAACTTACAACTTATTTGGATGATTGTTATACTTTATGAAACTACTGATTTGGTATGTAGCATCGTTAACTTATTTTTTTTCTCATCTTGCTCTTCTTTATTATTAAATAGTTTTATTTTATCCTTTATCTTACCTGTTTATATAGTAATTCTACCTCGTAACTTACCTTTTTTATAATATTACAAGTTTATTCTTCATATTGTTGGTGCATGAGATCATGAAACGGTGACAAATAATACAATTTATCCAAATATTATATATAATAAAACGATACAGTATCGTAGGCGGAGCCCAATGTCGGCTACGGATTCGGCTGAACCCTGTAGCTTTGGTTCAAATTATGTATTTGTCTAATAATTATTGTTAAATATATATAAATTATTAATTTAGAACCCAGTAACTTAAAAAGATTAGGAACCAGAATCCATAAGTTTGAAATCCTGGCTCCGCCTCTATACAAACAATACAATACAATACAATACAATACAATACAATACAATACAATACATTATGAAACGATACCTAACAACCATCCAAACAAGCTACTAGTGCAAAGAGGCTGCCAGTCTTGACCAACAATTAATAGTGTTGAAAGGACCTCAATTATGTGATTTCTATTCGGTAATAAATATGTACTACTATATAAAAAATTTAGATGTAGAATATATAGTGATAATCACTTTTTTGATTCTAGACTTGTTAGAATAACAAATGTTGATTACTAGACTAGAAAACAAAACAACATAATTCTACTCCAATATATTTATTTAAAAACAAAAAGAAGAAACAAGGAATTGGGAAGTCACTAGGGGTTTGCATGATATATCTATAGCTCCTTTCTTCCAAAATATACGTCCCATTAATCTAGATAACCATGGGAATTAGTTTTCTTTTTGTTTTACTTTATTTATTATCTTTTGAAAACACTAAACAAGTGTAAATCAAATAGCTAGCATGTTTTATGTCACACTAGATTGGTTATGTTCCTTTTCTTTTTTCTAGAAATTAAAACCAGAAAGTGATAATGCAACTAGGGTAGAAGGCAGATCCTATAAAAGTGGCTAAAAATCTCCAAAGAACTCTACTCCTATCACAACTCCAACTATAGCAAGTGTATTAGGTTACTTTATTAATTCCTTTGTTTAATTGAAGTTTAAATATGCATATATATATTATCATGTGGGCTAAACTTGAAATAGGAGTCGTATACAATTTGCTTATATTGGAGTCCTATTGCATTTGTCTTTCCTAAACAACACAATTTCAAAATAATCATATATCAAATGGGAGAGTTGAGGGACGAGTCTTCTTGTTGTCGTCTTCTTAAAGAGGATG